AAAAAAAAAAAAAAAAAAGTTCACATCCTCAATCCTGCCCCAGACCTGCTGAATCGGAGGCTCTGGAAGGTGGGCCTAGCATTCTGGTATTTTCATTTTGTTATTGTTACTGAACCCAGAGATATTGAACTACAGCTCCAGTCTTTTTCTTCTGAGATGGGGTCATTTTAGCTGGGAGGGTGGGGGGTGGGGGGTATGTGCCAGGGACTGACCTCAGGGGCACTCAACCACTGAACACATTTCCAGCACTTTTTTGTATTTTATTTAGAAACAGGGTTTCACCGAGTTGCTTAGTGCCTTGCTTTTGCTGAGGCTGGCTTTCAACTTTCAATCCTCCTGCCTCAACATCCTGAGCCGCTGGGATTACAGGCATGCACCACATTACAGGGTTCTTGCTGAGTTGCTGAGGCTAACCTTGAACTTGTGAATCCTCTTGCTTCATCCTCCTAAATCATTGGGATTTCAGGTGTGAGCCACCATACCCACTTCCAGTGTGTGGTCTGTTTTAAATCTCTAGGGAGCCTTATGTACGTCTAAACTTGAGAACCACCGATCTAGAAGAGCAAAAATGGGCTTGAAGACTGCTTTAAGACATCTAAGAACGCCTTTAAGAAGAGACATCCCTCATACACCCCTCTTGTTTAATGGATCAGAACAGAGGCACACACCATTCACCAGAAACTGCCCATTGCACTAGGTCCTGCCCAGTGGTCAGTGTGGCTCATCTTTAAGGTTTTTTCCCTGCTCACTTCTTAGTCTGATACAGACCCCACTACTCCTTGCCATCCAGGTTCTCTGAAGACCTTCAGACTGTTTGCCTCCCTGGAGCTTCTTGAGTTTCACAACTGCCTTTGTGGGCACTCACTCACTGGCTGTAGGAATTTAGCCACACTGCTGCAGAATTGTTTATCTTTGTATTCGTGGTGCATGTATTACAGTTTTTTTATTTAGAATTGAACTTGTTTGGATGAAGCAAATCAGTCTTTGCTGTTATTTGTGCTGCAAGTCTGTTTGCTGGAGGAAAAAAAACAAACACTATTCTCCTGACTTTTACAAGTACTTTTTAGTGCAGTAGAGCCTTTGTTAGAAGAATGGACAAAACATTCAACAGTTGATGTTAAGCATCTCTATGTTTTCTTATTCCAGCTCTGGATTAATCGAATTACAGCTGCCTCCCAGGAACACGGTCTGAAGTACCCGGCATTCATTGTCAACTTAATTAAGGTACAGTTTAGAGGGTCCTGCTGAGGTGCTGAGCATCTGTAGGAACCACCCCTCAGGCTTGAGCTCCCCTGGTTGTCTTCCCAGCATAGCCCTGTACCTTCTATTCTGCTTTCTGTTCCTGAGGTGGAACTCTGGCAAGGGCTTATCACAGTTGCTTCTCCCTCACCCTGCTGGTAGCAGACCATGTTGGAAACAGGACATGGTACTGAAATGTGAGCCCTAGTGTTTCCTCATTATGAAAAAGTATAAGACTCATCCTTTTATTTTTTTCATTTAATTTTTTTTGGTACTCGGAATTGAATCCAGGGCATTTTACCACTGAGCTACATTTCCAAGTGGTTTTTTTTTTTTTTTTTTCCTGGGGAGCATAGGGTCTCTCACTAAGTTGCTGAGGCTGGCCTAGAATTTGCCATCCTACTGTCTTAAGCCTCTAGAGTAGCTAAGATTACAGGAATGGCCACTGTACCTGATGGCTGTTCCTTTTTCTTCTGCTTCTTGGACTCACTGGTGGTTTCTGAGATCACCTCCAGTTCTTTTTCTTCTTCTTTTTGGGGTGCTGAGAATCAAGCCTAGGAACTTAAACTTTGGTGCTCTGTCACAAGCTATACCTTGGCTAGGTTGACTTCATGGGCTGATTTACGGGTTGGCCTTGACCAGGAGACCTAGTTGTTCAAGTGATGACTACTGAATCTAAACATGGTCCTTGGTTCCCTGGGCTGGCACTGGAGCCCTCCCTGTCCTTGATCATATTTATCCCATAGCACCTTTCTGTGCTGTGCAGACAGACCTTTTGCCAGGCAGACTGTGCCCTGGGCCAGGAAAGGAGAAAAATCTGGTGTGCTGACAGGAGGAGGGCGGCTCAGACCTTAGGCCTCTGAGCCGTGTCTTTCCAGCCTGACTGAAGTGGGATGTTCCTGCAGGCCACTGGGGTAGCGATGCTGACTGCAGGCTTCTGCTCTCTCTCTTCCCAGTGCCAGGTGGAGCTCAACAGGAAGGTACTTGCAGACCTGGCCATCTATGAACCGAAGACTTTCAAATCTTTGGCTGCTTTGGCCCAAAGGAGGCGACAGGAAGGGTTTGCTGCTGCCTTGGGGGATGGAAAGGAGCCTGAGGGCATATTTTCCAGAGTGGTGCACTACCACTGAGGGCAGCAGCACAGTGGATCTGGACAAGGCTTTTTCCTTGGAGGATCGTAGCTAAGATAGGAGCTCCAGGAGTTATGTGATAACTGAGTGAAGTCTGAGTTTGATTTGTCTTTGTGTTCATTGCCATTTCAATAATAGGTCTTGCCTTCTCTGGGTGGGACAGTCACAGAATGTCTTATGTCTTATGCAGATCATGTGCATAAAGCTTTTGTAGTCTTTGATTTTTGTTATATTTTGTTACCCAGCAAACCCTTTGATGTGTGCTCTGAGGTGCCTGTGTACATGTCATCAGTGACCACATGGGCAGTGGGAAAGACTGCTGAGCAGGAGTCCCGAGTGGTAGGATGCCACTGACCATGCTGCTTCCTTCTGCAAATTAGGGATCTGCACCAGGCCTCTGAACTTTGACCCCACAGTTACCTGATCTACACAAGTTTCCCCAGTCTCTACTCATCCTGGCCAGGTTTCACCTCAGTCTCCATCCTCCACTGGTCTCTTCCTTATGTATAGCAAGAATCCTGTGGCTCATTTCTTCAGACACTCCAAACACCAACCTTTTCCCCTCCCATCTCCTTCCATGCTCCCCCAAACCAGTAGAGATGGGAGGGACATCCACATAGCAAGCAGGTAGCACTCCTGGCTCAAAGGGGAACTTCTGAACTCTTATGGCTTTGGAGGGCTTTTAACAACACACACACTGCTCCCATAAGTTCAGGTATTATGTTCCTGACACTCACTAGTAGGAGCCACTTCACAGCAGCTCCATACCTTAGACCTGTCCACTCCTTCTAGTAGTGAAAGATGTGTATTTAAGCTGCCCAGGACCAGCCCAACCCTTTGTCCTCAGTGACCCAAAGCCTTTGTCATGTGGGTTTTGAGCAACTCATCTGCACACCCCCTCTCTAGCTCTAGTCTGCTGTCTCCACTCTGGTCTCTAACTGCTTCCTTCCCATTATAACTCAAGAGCTCTCAGCAAAGCTGTTTTCTAGAACCAAAATTCCAATAGGTACCATGACCCCCAAGAATTTCACCTCATCTCACTTCCCTTTCCTTCTGCACCAGGAAAACCCTTGAAGCTCTTTACCAATTACTGCCTTCTTGCTGGGGACTCCCACATTTATACAGGCAATATGTATACCTGTGGCCCAGGCCTGCTTGTACTGCTGACCTTGGAGGGCTATCCCTGCTCCCAAAGCACACCTTTCTTCCCTTCCAATTGCAGCCACACTGCCCTTTGGTGACACCATCCTTCATCTCATGTCACCATTGCCTGGGAGTCATTCCATATTCTTCCTTGTACACAGTACCTACTCCGGCCCCACATGGAGCCAGTCAAGCCCTGGCCATTTACCTCCTAGATATCTTTGTCCATTCTCGTCCACTTTCACTGTAAGCCAAAATCATTTATGGCCCACATTACAGCTTGAACCCCCCTATGAGGCCCTTCTTCCTGGACTTTGTCTCCAGCTTAAGGGTGGAGACTACCATAGGTATTTGGAGGACAAGGGCCAACTTCCATCTTTCCCAAGATCTGGTCATGTGCACAAGTGTTGAATTCATTTCACTTGTCAGTATGGTACTGTGGTTGAGCTGCTTTTATGCACTTCACACTAATAAAGGAAGATGGGAATGTGGCAGACCACTGTGGCCCTGCTCCAGTTTCCTTTCATTCTGGTGCAAGTTTGGGTGCCAGGGCCTGATCTGAGTGGCTGGATTCATGGTTCAGAGAATAGGCAAGCAGCCCAAGTAGGACCAAAGAAAATCAAGGTCTGCTCTTTTCCTGGGGCTGGGTGCAACTGCAGACAACAGGGGAGACACCCTGGCGCTGCCAACCTTGGGAGTAGAGGGGGTGGGTGGAATGCAACCGTGTTGCCCAAAGCAGTCCGAGTGCAGAGGAGAAATTGGGTCTCAGTTGCCACTGCTTGAACTGAGATAAGAAGTCCGCCCACGTTTGGATTTGGGCGGGAGCCATTGGGAGCCTCGGTTTCAGTTAGGCAGTCACAGGCAGCTCAAGAGTCTAAATTGACCCCATCCAGGAACATTCTACCCTCTGATCTACCCCCAACGTCTAAACCAGCATCTCTGGGCTTCCCCACCGGTCTCCTAACCCTAAACCTGGTGAAAAACTCGGGGTAACAACAGGAATTAACACACATGATGCTGCTCCACAGCGGCGCTGAGCAGACCCACGAAGGCCTGGGGAGTCAAGAGACAAGACAAATGCTTCATGAATTCTGTAGGGTCAAATAAGCAAGTCCCTTCCCACCCAGCGCTGGAACCTGGCGCCTCGCTTCCCCGCTACCCTGTGCTTGCACCTGCCGCCAAGCGCTCTGTAGGGTCATCAAATCCGACAAGTTCGGTTCCCTGTTACCCGTCCACCTCCTCGTGGGCTGAGGTTTGAAACAGGAACCCGTGAGGTCCAGGACCCACAGGTGCATCCCCAACTCGAAGCCAGCAGGGTGGAGCACTAACTACCAGGCAATCGCCCCTTGTTAACTCGCACCGGCTCCATGCACAGCGTCGTATTCCGGGGACTGCAGGGGAAGGGTCGTCCCTTCCCAGCTTCCACCGAGACCCGCCTCCTGGACGCCACAGGCTTCTGAGATGCAAGCTCCTTGACCCAAGCCTCTAGGAGCGTCTGGCCTCTCAAGGCAGACTCGTTTCCGGGTCGAGCCGGGCCGTGGAGAGTTCTGGGTAACGAGCCCGCTTCTCCCGCGCGAGTTCCGGCGTCGACGCCTGACGTAAGGCTGACGGGCAATTCACGCAACCAATAGCCATGAGGCAGCGACCGATCATAGCCAATAGCCTGGGGTTGGGCGGGGCG